TGAAATCCTTTTACCCATTGTCAGACCCTACGCTGGTGCAGTGGGTCCTGGGTTCCTCCTGGTGCATGACAATGCCGAGCCTCATGTGGAGGGAGTATGCAGGCAGTTCCTTGAGGATGAAGGAATTGATACCATTGAATGGCCCCCATCCTCATCTGACACAAATCCAATAGATCAACTCTGGGATATCATGTTTTGGGCCATCAGACACCACCAGGTTGCACCTCAGACTGTCCAGGAGCTCATTGATGCCCTGGTCCAGATCTGGGAGGAAATACTCTAGGACACCATGCGTTGTCTCATTAGGAGCATTCCCCCGATGTTGTCAGGGCATGCACATGGGGGCCATACAAACTACAGAGTACCATTTTGAGTTGCTGCAATGAAATTTTAGTAAAATGGACTAGCCTGCTGCATCATTTTTTCACTTTGATTTTTAGGGTGTCTTTGAATTCAGTCCTTTGTAGGTTGATCATTTCCATCAAACGATGGGGCATCCTTACATTCCTAACACATTATCCAGTCCATGTCAGTATAGAGATCCAGCAGGAGATTTTTCCCCATTGACATCGGATGTGTTTTTGAGCAGCGTATATGAAGGAAAGGAGATGTTCTAGTTGACATAGGAAGTGTTCCTTATGGTAAAATTTAAAATGTGAACTTAAAAATGACCATCTAAAAAGGTATCCTCAGTTACAGTTACTAAAGAACAGCGTAGGGATATTCTGATATAAGACTCAGAATTGGACCGTGGGGTCAAGGGACCCCCTTGTGAGGCAATTGATCACAGTTGCCCTGAGGAAGGGTTTTTTTTTAGACTAAAATGCTGGAGTTTTTGGAAGGCTAGCCTCAGATCAGCACTGGACAGCTCCCTGTATTGTTACATTGTATCTACACACTTCATATTGCACCAGACCTCAGGACACCATCAGTTTATGGAAGGTTAGCCTCTCTAGACCAGCCTTTCTCAACCAGGGTGCCCAGGTACCCTGGGGTGCCTTGAGGTTTCTTCAGGGGTGCCTTGGCAAAATTTCTAAAAAAAATTGCCTAAAACTTGTATACAAGCCAGTGAGTGTAACAAGTCTGCCTTTTAGTTACACAAATCCACAGGTTTTCATTGTGCACCATAACAACCTTCTAGCCGCCGGCGTCCTGACAACCAATAACATCATCAGTTGATAAGGAGAATGTCAGCTGCCTGCACACCATCCTAGTTTGACCCTCCCTTGCCCCTCTCCATCAGTGCTGGGGCCACATTAACTCAGTGAAGGGGAAAACTGAGGGAGAGGAGAAACATGGGAATACTACTCAGAACCAGTGTGCAAAAGTGTATTTGCTTTGGAAGAATAAATCACCTCCAATGTTGGGTGTCCTATGTGTGTGGATGTTGCTGCGTTATATAAAACTATCAGAATAGTTTTTAAAATTTTAGAATGGGGTGCCTCAAGACTGTCCATAATTTTAAAGGGTGCCTTTACTGGAAAAAGGTTTGAGAAACACTGCTCTAGACTATAATGCTGGAGTGCACAGCGCATCCAGAAAGTATTCCCAGCACTTAACTTTGGCCACATTTTGTTATGTTACGGCCTTATTCCAAAATGGATTAAATTCATTTTTTCCCTCAACATTCTACAAACAATACCCCATAATGACAACGTGAAAGAAGTTCGTTTTGCAAACTTTGCAATTTATTAAAATAAAAAAAATGAAAAAAGAAGAAAAAAAAAAAAAACAAACAAACACATTGTTGAAGCTCCTTTAGCACCAATTACAGCCTCAAGTCGTTTTGAGTATGATGCTACAAGCTTGGCACACCTATTTTTGGGCAATTTCTCCCATTCTTCTTTGCAGGACCTCTCACGCTCCATCAGGTTGGATGGGGAGTGTCAGTGCACAGCCATTTTCAGATCTCTCCAGAGATGTTCAATTGGGTTCAAGTCTGGGCTACTCCAGGACATTCAAACAGTAGCCGTAGCCACTCGTTTGTTATGTGGGCTGTGTGCTTAGGGTCGTTGTCCTGTTGAAAGATGAACCATTGCCCCAGTCTAAGGTCCAGAGCGCTCTGGAACAGGTTTTCATCAAGGATGTCTCTGTACATTGCTGCATTCATCTTTCCTTCCATCCTGACTAGTCTCCCAGTTCCTGCCACTGAAAAAACATCCCCACAGCATGATGCTGCCACCACCATGCTTCACTGTAGGGATGGTATTGGCCAGGTGGTGAGCGTTGCCTGGTTTCCTCCAGACATGACGTTTGGAATTCAGGCCAAAGAGTTCAATCTTTGTTTCATCAGACCAGAGAGAATTTTGTTTCTCATGTTCTGAGAGTCCCTCAAGTGCCTTTTGGCAAACTCCAGGCGGGCTGCCATTTGCCTTTTACTGAGGAGTAGCTTCCGTCTGGCCACTCTACCATACAGGCCTGATTGGTGGAGTGCTGCAGAGATGGTTGTTCTTCTGGAAAGTTCTCCTTTCAACACAGAGAAATGCTGGAGCTCTTTTAGACTGAACATCAGGTGCTTGATTACCTCCCTGGCTAAGGCCCTTCTCCCTCGGTCACTCATTTTGGCTGGGCGACTCGCTCTAGGAAGATTCCTGGTGGTTTCAAACTTCTTCCATTTACGGATGATGGAGGCCACTGTGCTCATTGGGACCTTCAATGCTGGAAAAATGTTTCTGTACCCTTCCCCAGATCTGTGCCTTGATACAATCCTGTCTCGGAGGTCTACGGACAATTCCTTGGACTTCATGGCTTGGTTTGTGGTCTGACATGCACTGTTACCTGTGGGACCTTCTATAGACAGGTTTATGCCTTTCCTAATCAGGTCCAATCAACTGAATCTCCCACAGGTGGACTCCAATCAAGTTGTGGAAACATCTCAAGGATGATCAGTGGGAACAGGATGCACCAGAGCTCAATTTTGAGTGTCATGGCAAAGGTTGTGAATGTTTATGTACATGGGTTTCTTTTTGTTTTTTTATTTTTAATAAATTTCAAAGATTTCAAAACGAACTTCTTTTACATTGTTATTATGGAGTATTGTTTGTAGAATGTTGAGGAAAAAATGAACTTATTCCATTTTGGAATAAGGCTGTAACATAACAAAATGTGGCAAAAGTGAAGCGCTGGGAATACTTTCTGGATGCACTGTATGAAAGGCTAGACTACAGGTGAAAACTCGAAAAATTAGAATATCGTGCAAAAAGTTAATTTATTTCAGTGCAGCAACTTAAAAGGTGAAACTAATATATGAGATAGACTCATTACATGCAAAGCAAGATAGTTCAAGCCGTGATTTGTCATCATTGTGATGATTATGGCTTACAGCTCATGAAAACCCCAAATCCACAATCTCAGAAAATGAGAATATTGTGAAAAGGTGTAATATTTTTGGCTCAAAGTGTCCACTCTAATCAGATAACACAGACTGTGGAAACTTCACACTGGACTTCAAGCATCTTGCAGTGTGTGCCTCTCCATTCTTCCTCCATACTCGGGGTCCTTGGGCCTCTACATTCCTCCTCCATACTCGGGGGTCCTTGGGCCTCTACATTCTTCCTCCATACTCGGGGTCCTTGGGCCTCTCCATTCTTCCTCCATACTCGGGGTCCTTGGGCCTCTCCATTCTTCCTCCATACTCTGGGTCCTTGGTTTCCAAATGAGATGCAAAAGTTGCTCTCATCAGAAAAGAGGACTTTGGACCACTGAGCAATAGACCAGGTCTGTTTTTCTTTAGCCCGGGTAAGGCGCTTTTGATGTTTGTTGTTCAGGAGCGTCTTGACAAGAGGAATACGACATTTGAAGCCCATGTCCAGGATCCGTCTGTGTGTGTTGGCTCTTGATGCACTGACTCCAGCCTCAGTCCACTCCTTGTGAAAGTCCCCAACACTTTTGAATGGCCTTTTCCTGACAGTCCTCTCCAGGCTGTGGTCATCTCTGCTGCTTGTGCACCTTTTTCTTCCACACTTTTCCCTTCCACATAACTTTCTATTAATGTGCTTTGATACAGCACTTTGGGAACATACAACTTCTTTTGCAATTCCCTTTTGAGGCTTTCCCTCCATATGGAGGGTGTCAATGATGGTTTTCTGCACAACTGTCAGGTCAGCAGTCTTTCCCATGATTGTGATTCCTACTGAACCAGACTGAGAGACCATTTAAAGGCTCAGGAACCCTTTGCAGGTGTTATGGCTTAATTAGCTGATTAGAGTGGGACACTTTGAGCCGAGAATATTGCACCTTTTCACAATATTCTCATTTTCTGAGATTGTGGATTTGGGGTTTTCATGAGCTGTAAGCCATAATCATCACAATGATGACAAATCACGGCTTGAACTATCTTGCTTTGCATGTAATGAGTCTATCTCATATATTAGTTTCACCTTTTAAGTCGCATTACTGAAATAAATGAACTTTTGCACCATATTCTAATTTTTCGAGTTTCACCTGTATAATGCTGGAGTGTATGGAAGCCTCTAGACCAGGGTTTTTATAAACCTTCCAACAAAGAGCCAGTTTACATCATTACATCAAAATTGGTGTCAGTAGCAGGAATAGTACCCCACCATTGGTGTCAGTGGGAGGAATAGCGCCCCATCATTGGTGTCAGTGGGAGGAATAGCGCCCCATCATTGGTATCAGTGGGAGGAATAGCGCCCCATCATCATTGGTATCAGTGGGAGGAATAGCGCCCCATCATTGGTATCAGTGGGAGGAATAGTGCCCCATCATTGGTATCAGTGGGAGGAATAGCGCCCCATCATTGGTATCAGTGGGAAGGAATAGCGCCCCATCATTGGTATCAGTGGGAGGAATAGCGCCCCATCATTGGTGTCAGTAGGAGGAATAGCGCCCCCATCATTGGTATCAGTGGGAGGAATAGTGCCCCCATTGGTATCATTGGTATCAGTGGGAGGGATAGTGCCCCATCATTGATGTCAGTGGGAGGAATAGCGCCCCATCATTGGTATCAGTGGAAGGAATAGCGCCCCATCATTGGTATCAGTGGAAGGAATAGTGCCCCATCATTGGTATCAGTGGGAGGACTAGTGCCCCATCACTGGTATCAGTGGGAGGAATAGTGCCCCATCATTGGTGTCAGTGGGAGGAATAGCGCCCCATCATTGGTCAGTCAGTGGTATCAGTGGGAGGAATAGCGCCCCATCATTGGTATCAGTGGGAGGGAATAGCGCCCCATCATTGGTATCAGTGGGAGGAATAGCGCCCCATCATTGGTGTCAGTGGGAGGAATAGCGCCCCATCATTGGTGTCAGTGGGAGGAATAGCGCCCCATCGTTGGTGTCAGTAGGAGGAATAGTGTCCACCCCCCATCATTGGTATCAGTGGGAGGAATAGTGCCCCATCATTGGTGTCAGTAGGAGGAATAGTGCCCCATCAGTGGGAGCAAATTTGGTGTCAGTGGAGGGAATAGCGCCCCGTCATTGGTGTCAGTGGGAGGAATAGTGCCCCTATCATTGGTATCAGTGGGAGGAATAGCGCCCCATCATTGGTATCAGTGGGAGGAATAGTGCCCATCATTGGTATCAGTGGGAGGAATAGTGCCCCATCATTGGTGTCAGTGGGAGGAATAGTGCCCCATTGTTGGTTGTCATTGGTGTCAGTGGGAGGAATAGTGCCCCCATCATTGGTATCAGTGGGAGAATAGTGTCCCATCATTGGTATCAGTGGGAGAAATAGCGCCCCATCATTGGTATCAGTGGGAGGAATAGTACCCCCAAGGACCAGATAAAGGCAAGCAAAGGGCCACATCTGGCCCATGGGCCACAGTTTGGAGACCCCTGCTCTAGATTAAAATGCTGGAGTGTATGGAAGTCTTCTCATAGCAGTGGACTAGAGGAAGCAGGACGGGGTGGCATTACAATCCCACGCTGTCCAACAAGGAGGTATTCCCGAATCCACAGCTCACCCTTCTTTGCCATAAAACGGAGATATGGTGTCAGACAATTCCCGGCACAGTCAGCTCTCCCTCCTATTACTTCTACATTCAAGTAACAGCAAATAATCAAATAGAAATTTCCTTTATAGGAGTGCTGACATTTACACAGCGCTGATGATAATAAAAATGAAGGATGATAAATAAATAGGTGGTGCTATCAGACCTCAAATATGGAAGCTCCTGTATTGTGTGCTATCAGTACAGACCTCAGATCAGCACTGGACAGCTCCTGTATTGTTAGAACATTGTATCTACACACTTCATATTGTATCAGACCTCACATTAGCACTAGACAGCTCCCTGTTTATTGTTACATATTGTATCAGACACACTTTTCATATTGTATCAGACCTCAGATCAGCACTGGCAGCTCCAAGTATTGTTACATTGTATCTACACGCTTCATTATTGTATCAGACCTCACGCTTCAAATATGATCAGCACTGGACAGCTCCCAGTATTGTTACAATATGAAGCAGTGTAGATGCAATGTAACGGGGAGCTGTCCAGTGCTGATCTGAGGTCTGATACAATATGAAGCGATAATATGTAAGATACAATGTAACGGTAATACAAGCTAACGGAGAGCTGTCCAGTGCTGATGTGAGGTCTGATACAATATGAAGCGTGTAGATACAATGTATCAGACCTCACATCAGCACTGGACAGCTCTCCGTTACATTGTATCTACACGCTTCATATTGTATCAGACCTCACATCACCACTGGACAGCTCCTGGCATTGTTTATATTGTATCAGACCTTGGATCTGCACTGGACAGCTCCCCGTTACATTATATCAGACCTCGGATCAGCACTGGACAGCTCCCCGTTACATTATATGACCTCGGATCAGCACTGGACAGCTCTCCCAGAATTGTTACATTGTATCTACACGCTTCATATTGTATCAGACCTCACATCAGCACTGGACAGCTCCCTGTATTGTTGCATTGTATCTACACACTTCATATTGTATCAGCACTGGACAGCTCCCTGTATCGTTACATTGTATCTACACACTTCATATTGTATCAGACCTCAGATCAGCACTGGACAGCTCCCTGTATTGTTACATTGTATCTACACACTTCATATTGTATCAGACCTCAGATCAGCACTGGACAGCTCCCTGTATTGTTACATTGTATCTACACACTTCATATTCTATCAGACCTCAGATCAGCACTGGACAGCTCCCTGTATCGTTACATTGTATCTACACACTTCATATTCTATCAGATCTCAGATGAAAGGTCACTTTTGTCTCCTCTGGTGTTCATTACTTTCATATTTTGGCAAATTCGACCAAAAAAATGATTTACAAAACATTTCAATGTTGGATTTAGTAATTCTATTCAAGGGGAGGATTGTTTGGGATATAATTGTACACTTGGGAAGGGGGGGGGGGGGGGGTGGTAATAATACACAGACACACATATACTGGACATATAATACACACACAGTCTATACCCACACAGACACTGTACACTGGTACTGTATACATTGTTTCACTTTTCTCCTCTATAAATACAACACAACTAACAACACCACACACACAACACAAACAAACACACCCACACAAACAAACAAAAACAATTCAACAAAAACACACCCCAAAAAACCAACCCCCCAAAACAAAAAAACCACAAAACAAAATCAAAAAACACACACACACACACCACACACACACAAAAAACACACACACAAAAAAACAAACCACACACACCCCCCCATACAAACACACACCCAAACCCAAAAACACCACAAACACAAAAAAACACACACACCCCCCACAAAACACACACACAAAAATACAAACACAAACTGGAATACAAAAAACACCAAACCAAAACACAAAAAAACCCCCCACAACACCAAAAAAACAAAACACAAAAAAACAACACAACTGGAATAAAACAAACACCCCACACACTGGAACAAACACACACTTTTAGCGCTATATAAAAACTGTAAAAATAAACAACACACACAATGGAATACAACACAAAACAAACAACAAAACACAACACAAAATACACAACACACACAACAAAAACAAAACCAAACACACAAACCACCACAACCCCCACAAAACAAAAACCACACAACAAAAATAAAACACACAAAAAACAAAAAACACAAATATAAAACTAAACAACACACAAACAAACACTGGAAAAAACAAACACAAAACTGGAAAAACAACACAAACACTGGAATAAACAACAACAGACACTGGAAAAACAAAACACACACACTGGCAAACAATACACACAACACAAATGGAAATAAAAAACAAAACACACACAAACACACAACAAAATGGAAACACCAATGTCTGGTGGGCAGTACAAGCCGCAGGCCCGGAGATCAAGTGCAAATCCCCCCCCATCTGTGTGTACACCCGACACTGTGCACAGCAAAGACCCTCACATGATACACAAGCAGACAATATACCATACAACCAGACAAACACACAACACACATACACCTCTATCCGGCCCTCCTGTACAGCCTGGGATGTATGTATAGGAAGCTGTGCCTCCGTCTGATGGCATTCCTATGCATTCATGTACCCAGGGGAATGCAATATAATCACATATCATTGTATACATACATGGTACATACATGATGGGAGGCGTGCAGTATAATCACACATCATTGTATATATACATGGTACATACATGATGGGAGGCGTGCAGTGTAATCACATATCATTGTATACATACATGGTACATACATGATGGGAGGCGTGCAGTATAATCACACATCATTGTATACATACATGGTACATACATGATGGGAGGAGTGCAGTATAATCACGTCATTGTATACATACATGGTACATACATGATGAAAGGTGTGCAGTAGCTGTACTCACCCTGTGATGTTGCAGAGCTTTCACCTTTTGGGGGTCACACCACCCCCAGATTGTGCATCTCTAGTGATGATCAGACACCTATCATGCTGAGTGTGTGTGTGTGTGTGGGGGGGGGGGGCTGCAGAGATCTCAGGTGCAGTGATGCAGTGTGAGGATGATGATGGTGGTGCAGTGATGGAGAGAGATCAGCCTGCAGTGTGCTCTGTGTGATCTTCTCTGTATGTCTGATGTCACTACCTGAGGGGGGCGGGGCCATCCCAAATCCTACAACCCTTCAACTGCCAGACTCTTCATTACCCATAACCCCTTAACTGCCAGATCCCTCACCAACACGTAACCCCTCAGCTGCCAGATCCCTCACCAACACGTAACCCCTCAGCTGCCAGATCCCTCACCAACACGTAACCCCTCAGCTGCCAGACCCCTCAGCAACACGTAACCCCTCAGCTGCCAGACCCCTCACCAACACTTAACCCCTCAGCTGCCAGATCCCTCACCAACACGTAACCCCTCAGCTGCCAGACCCCTCACCAACACTTAACCCCTGAGCTGCCAGATCCCCTCACCAACACGTAACCCCCTCAGCTGCCAGATCCCTCACCAACACGTAACCCCTCAGCTGCCAGACCCCTCATTAACATTTAAACCCCTCAGCTGCCAGACCCCTCACCAACACGTAAATCCCTCAGCTGCCAGATCCCTCACCAACACGTAAACCCCTCAGCTGCCAGACCCCTCACACAAACTCGTAACCCCTCAGCTGCCAGACCCCTCACCAACACGTAACCCCTCAGCTGCCAGACCCCTCACCAACACGTAACCCCTCAGCTGCCAGACCCCTCACCAACTCGTAACCCCTCAGCTGCCAGATCCCTCACCAACACGTAACCCCTCAGCTGCCAGATCCCTCACCAACACGTAACCCCTCAGCTGCCAGACCCCTCACCAACACGTAACCCCTCAGCTGCCAGACCCCTCACCAACACGTAACCCCCTCAGCTGCCAGACCCCTCACCAACACGTAACCCCTCAGCTGCCAGACCCCTCACCAACACTTAACCCCTGAGCTGCCAGATCCCTCACCAACACGTAACCCCTGAGCTGCCAGACCCCTCACCAACACGTAACCCCTCAGCTGCCAGACCCCTCACCAACACTTAACCCCTCAGCTGCCAGATCCCTCACCAACACGTAACCCCCTCAGCTGCCAGACCCCTCACCAACATTTAACCCCTCAGCTGCTAGATCCCTCACCAACACGTAACCCCTCAGCTGCCAGATCCCTCACCAAACACGTAACCCCTCAGCTGCCAGACCCCTCACCAACTCGTAACCCCTCAGCTGCCAGACCCCTCACCAACACGTAACCCCTCAGCTGCCAGACCCCTCACCAACTCGTAACCCCTCAGGTGCCAGACCCCTCACCAACATTAACCCCTAACCCCTCAACTGCCAGACCCCTCACCAACACATAACCCCGCAAATGCCAGATCCCTCACCAACACAACTGCCAGATCCCTCACCAACACGTAACCCCTCAACTGCCAGATCCCTCACCAACATTTAACCCCTCAGCTGCCAGACTCTTCACCAATTACCCATAACCCCTCAACTGCCAGACCCCTCACCAACATGTAACCCCTCAACTGCCAGACCCCTCACCAACACGTAACCCCTCAACTGCCAGACCCCTCACCAACACGTAACCCCTCAGCTGCCAGACCCCTCACCAACACGTAACCCCTCAGCTGCCAGACCCCTCACCAACACGTAACCCCTCAGCTGCCAGATCCCTCACCAACACTT